TTAGACCATTTAACGAGCAATTTTTACTTTTGTGACACAAATATAGCTTCATATGATACAAACATCTATAGTTCTTTTCAGTGATTCATCAATGTCAAAAGTTGCCCACTGTTTGGGCTGATTGGATTTTCACCATCAGCATCACTACACTAAAATTTAGCAGTTTTTAGATCACTTTCAAAATACCGACACTTATCTACCACTACATTTTATGGCAAAAATTTTTGGAACATAAAAAACGACTGGCTTCTGCTTTAAAAAAAGTAACTGTTTATTTGAAAAAGCGACACCATTGAGAAACAGTGGTGCAAATAGACTCAAAATTTATACGGTTTTTTTTCATATGCAGATTCTGATTGACGACAGAACGGCAAGTTAACAGGTGTAAAATTACACATTGACCGAGTATTGTTCTGCTAAAGTTTCTGTATTTTTAGCCTCAGCATAACAGATTAAGCAGCATAATTGTGAAATCGTTATTCTGACATACATTAAAAGGGATACTCGAAAGGGTCGAATAAGTGCCATTTAATTTTTCTTACTATAAACAAATGTTGAACCCTAAAAACTGTAGAAGAGTAAGTGGACAAATGATTACAATGATGTATTTGAAAACTTTTTAAATCACATCTGAAGAAACTGATACTTTGAATTTGATTCATGCAAATCAGGCGCATTTTTTGGTTTTAAAAATGACAATAACTCTTTATTTCATTAACAGTTTTACAAACTTGCATAATTACAGTTTACAACTGTTACAGTGTTCTTTTTCAAACCGATGTGTTCGTAGAACAGTAGAAGATTTTAATTTTAAAACTTTGATGCGTTTTGAGTTATTTAAAAATTAATGAAAAGTTGTTGAGACAGGTTCAGTTGATGTGAAACTTCAGATATTATTTGTGAATGTTACTGAAATTGAACAATAATGAAATTTTTTTTGCAAAACTTCTAAGCAGCAAATTGAATAATTGATTGTACAAAGCAGAATTTAGGAAAGCTATAAATCATTGCACAGATTTAGTTCTAATGACGATGTCAGGTGGCAGGCAAGAAAAAAAAAAATGCACAACTCTGTTGTTATCCAAAACTGATGGATATATTCCAAGTTGTTTATAGCAGGTTACAGTGTTTTTACAGTGTTTTTACGGTTGATTTTAAACTCCAAAGCCAAATGTAGCTTTTTAATAGCTTCTTCCTCTCATTTATTCGACCACGTTGGTTTAATACCAATCAAAAAAATTCATTTACTGAAAAAAACAATTATATTTGTAATTGTAATCAAAAATATTGTAGGAAACAAGTAGCGATAACATTGAGCACTGAGAAATGAAACTGCCTTTTAGTCAATTTATTTGTTTTCTCTTTAGCCAGCATCTTTGTAAAACGAAAAAAAAGACGTTTTTTTTTCTTGCTGTTTGAGCTGCATAAACTGTCTGCAAATAAAGTCTGACTCATCAGGAGACCTGAAAGAAACTTGATATTCTTCATTTTCGTCGAAGAGAAACGAAGAAGTGCCTGCCGAATTATTGGTAATTAAAGGCACATAATAACACTTAGCAGTTGTTTGTTAGAAACAAGTCTAAAATTGCTTCTTGAGTTATAAACAAAAAATAGTAAATTATTGTGCATGTAATAAATTCTTTTTGCTTCATTCAGCATTGCAGCAACACATTGAAAAGAGTTTTCAATAGTCGTAGTCGTAGATGCTTGTTGTAGATTGGATAAATGTATGCCGGGATTTTCATTTTCAACAGAATATTTATTGCATTTGTATAGATGCTAAAAATTTTTGAGTGTCTAATATACAATAGGAATATATTACAAAAACTATAATACAAGAGAATAGGAAGTCTGTCGATTTCTTTATGCATAAAGCTTTCTGTTCGGTCATCTTTTGCATATAGACAATACCAGAGTACCCAAATGTATATATGTCTATATATATATATATAATATTTTTTCCAAGCCGCCGTATAACGTAGTTTAAGCAGAACGGATACGCCAAAAACAAATGTTATCGGTTGCTTTTTCAATGCACTTTACGCCTAGACAAAGCAGCAAAAACTTAGGTCGCTGACTGCGCAAACAATAGGATTTGAGAGGCTCGCAACTAATTTCAACTTTTGTAGGCATATCAAAAATTGCAAATTCAAATCGTAGTCTCATATTTCCGGTAACTGTTCTTGAGATTTTTTTTTT